TATATATAATGGTTTATTTTTACATCATTTTGTACATTTTTTTTTTCCATCTCAATTGTAATCCCCATGGGTTTCCTATCACCGAGTCACCCGTGTGCCATCACCATAGTCTCGTGCACTTCCCTCCCGAATAAGGGGCCTCTTACTCTGCCTTGCTCCAATTCTTTAGACTGGCTTACTGAAGACTAGCCTAAGCCAGGACACTTTAACTCCTTAAGTGAGAAGGAAGAACACCTAAAGCTATTAGAAAATATCTATACTATAGATGTCCTTAAAAGACAGGCAGGACAAGGGCCTAGTTGGCAACAATCAATCTTTGCCTCTAGGAAACCAACTTCTGTCCTGGTTGCTCCCCTTTCTCTTTCCCTTACAAATTTTCTTTTTTAAAGATTTATTTATTTATGCATACAGAACTGGGGTATAGGCCAGAGATGCGGAGGGTGAGAGGATTCACCAAAGACAGAGTGGGGAGCAGAACAGGCATATCGACGAAGTACACTGCTAAGGGGAGCAGCGGGCGGGTCAGGAGAGGTCTGCAGCACCATGTTGTCACCTCCGGTGCAGGGATCGAACTTGCACTGCACTGAAGTGGCTGAGGCCAGCTTTGCAGTGCTGCGCTTTAACTCGCTGCGCCACCAGGGAGGGCCCCTTTATTATTTTCTTGTTTGGGCCTTGTATCCTTACACCCTCTTGCCTAAAGTACAGTTGCCTTCAAGTGGTCCTTCTGATAGAGGCGAATATGATGCTTCCACAGTCCTTCTTCTGAGGTCCCTTAGACTGTCGCCCTCCAATGGTGCCCTGACTGCCTCTCCATGTCACTCATGTTCATCAGGAAGCAGTTGCTGATCAGACTGACTGCCTTTGTCCTAGCAGCAATTAGGGGATCCATTTATAAGAGGGGAGAATGAGTCCCAGGGCAAGTTAGGTATAACTAGGCAGCTTCAGAGATGCAGGCAGGAATACTAGAGGAGTTAAAGAGGCTTCTGAGATAAAGAGAGTAAATTCTAAGAGGCGCTAACTAAAACATACTCTAGGGATGAGGACGGAAAGTCCAGAAGGACTAAAACAAAAGTTTGAAAACAGAGGTGGTAAACTCTAAAAGAAAAAAGGGAAAAAAAAAAAAGGTTTAAATACCCCTAGACATGGGCCCATAATGGTTCCTTTCTCCTCCCAAGTCCAGAGTGCCTGAGACCTTGCCACACTGGACAATGCCTGGTGACAGATAGCAACTTCTCTTGACACACCAAAACCCTAAAAAAACTGTCTTCAAAGGCTGCACTGGGAGATCTGTACCCCATAGATCTGCCAACAGATATGGTGGAATAAAAATTAAAAGGGGGGGAAGTCAGGCTGACCAGCTGATTAGCTAAGTTGGCACACAGCCTGTAGACAGAAAGTTTCAGGGAACAACTGATAAGGCCATCAGGCCACACTCACCCTGATCCATGCATCTCAGCTGATTGTATCAGATTAGATGTGGGAGAGATCTCCTCTGGGCCCACTGGTGTCAAGTCTGCTGGCGCAAGTAAAGAGCTTCCTTTCTCCTCTCTGAGTGCTACCTGGTTCTCTAATGAAAACCTGTTAACATTATCATTACTCTCCATCACACTTGTGGGTGCTGGACACTTCAACCCCAGCAGCTTCCAAGTTGAACTTCTTGCTTTGTCTCCCCCACGTATTCTTGCTGGTTTTGTTCTCTGGTTAGTGGTACCACCAACTCTACATATTACTCCGAAACCTAAAAATGATTCTTGGAACTCTTTCAACTTTGCTCCTTTCAGTCTACTGATAACCTAGGGTTTTTTTTTTTTTTTTTTGGTATTTTTTTTTTAAGATTTATTTACTTATGCACTAGCCAGAGATGGAACTCGTGTTGCAGTGGTTGCATATAGCTTCATAGTGCTGGGTTTTAACCTGTTGTGCCACCAGGGAGGGCCCCCCTCTTATATACATTTTATTTTGTTAACAAAGGGGTAAAATTCCTAAAACATAGACTTCAGAATATTATTCCCAATTGTAAACCAGTTCTGTTGCTTTCTACATAAGATTCCATTTTCTAAAGCTTATCATTTAACTCCCTTTCTTTTAAATCAGATCTCTATAAAGAATGTACTATCTCCTTTCTCATTAGAGTTCACCTCTCAATCTACATGCAAGTCACATTGAATTAATTGAAGAAACATGGTTGCATGAAACATTTCTTTTGTGCCTTTAGGATATGTGGTGCCTTATACCTGGAATATTGTTTCCCATGGCTCCCTTTACTCTGTCTTCACCTAATTGCTACTTATTCTTCAAATGCATCTCAAAGTTTCTTTAGGAAGTCTTTCCACTCCCAAACCCAGGTCCTCCATAACCCTTAGTCATACTTCTTTACACACATGATTGGACAGAAAATTGTTGAAGGGCTGCAATGGTGTCTTGCTCATCTTTGTAAGTTTACAGCCTTACTCTTACAGATATTAACTGTCTTAGTTAAATCAATAAATAATTCAGATTTGGAAGCCAGCACTAAAATGGTCTGTCATCACCGCTGTCTCCTGATACTCACGTGCTCAGCAGTCTCCTCCTACAGTGCACCAACGTTTACCTTCGTGGCAAAGAACTTCACGAACCCTCTGGGCAACTGCCAGAAAAGCACTGAGGCCAAGTAAGTGAGCTTAGAGTTCGATTCTCCAGTATCAGTCAGGTCTTCAGACACAAAGGGCTTGTCCAACAATTAGACTGCGTTCTTACTTAACTATGGAAGAGCTATAACCAACCAGCTCAGCTCTTCCCAAATTTCTGACCCTTAGAAATTGTACAAGATGATAGTCCTTTTGGAAATCTTTTTGTGAAGAAACAATAGCTTATATAAGTATGTAAGTTTTAGGTGCATATATATACTTTCACATTTTAATGAAAACACAGAACCCCTCAGGAGTTTATGTGTTATTTTTAGATATATATTGGATTGTTCCCAATTTAGGATATATACTGGCTAGGCCAGCACTAAATGTTTGTTTTTTTAGACTGCTATATTTTGAGGTAAAAAAAAAAAAAGCATGAATACACAGGCAGAATGAAGCAAGTGCTTTACCATTTCCAGGCCACCTCTAATAATCCCACAGAGTAAATTGCAGTAGCACAGAGAAGATCGTCCAGCAGGAAGCTCTTCCACAAACTCTATCAGAGGGTTCTTGTCTAGAATCAGGGAAAATTCATTTCTGCTTGAATTGTTACAGGTCACAGTTGGTGTAATTCCCAAGTACATCTTGAAAGCAACCTAATAAAGACAGAAAATATTTACTAAAACTTGGTATAGAACAAATATATCTTTTTAAAAAAGATTCATTTATTTATGCAAACAAGAACTAGGGTACAGGTCAGAGGGGTGAGAGGTGAGAGGATTCACCAGAGACAGAGTGGGGAGCAGAACAAGCAGATTGAAATACACTGTTGAGTTGAAATACACTGCTGAGGGGAGCAGCAGGCAGGTCAGGAGTGGTCTGCTGTGCCACGTGAGTCACCTCCCTGGACTTGAATTGGACTTGAGCTTCAGTGGGTTGGATAGCTTTATACTGCTGCGCCTTAACCAGATGCCACGAGAGAAGGCTCCTAGAATAAATATTTCTTAGCAAGATACCTGCATAGACTATTCCAGACAGTACATCACAATGGTTAAGCATGTGGCATTGTCAGAAGTTTGGATTCACACCCAGTTTTGAACATTTTGTTACATTTTGCAAGTTTTAAACTTTTCAAATTTTATTTGGATCAACTGAAGGGACTGGTTTTCTCTGGAAAATATGGTTTATGAAACACAGAGTTTAGAGAGATTTCCAAAAATTCTTTTCAAAAGGAAATATCTTTTAGGAGGTTAAAAATTTTAAATGCTATTAATCATCAATATACTAGAATGGTAAATGTTATATGGGCCCAACCAAAGGTAAGATCCTGACTAAGAAGGGATTCAGGATGCAGCACCCCAAAAGGATGGTGAAGGAGCAAAGCATGGCAAAGGGAGCTGGGGTGTGACAGGAGTCACATGGCCAAGGAGAGGGCCCTTGTCTCTGAGGAGCAAGTGCTTGTGGTTGGAGATACATATATTAACAAAGTAACAGCTGGAAAAATCTGCTGGTTTACAGGTTTATGGAATTGTACAAAATAGCAATAGAGGAAACTAGACCATTTTCATACTCCCAGTTTTGCACATTAGTAAACTGGGTGGATAAAAGTAAAATGACACTGGGCATGGCGACTGTAACTTAGTTTCTTGGTTGTTTATTATGCTTCTCCTATAGTAAATAGTCCTGGAATTTGTATTAATGAATATTTGTCAGCTTGATATTTTGTCATCTTTCAAGTCCCTAAATTAATTTAATTTTAAAAGTTACAGGTAGTATGAGAAACATGGAAACAGTTTCTGTAAGTTATTTATAAGTATAAAAGGTCCATCTGTCATTTACTTATTCACTCAATAGATACTGCTTGTCCATCACAGCTCCTGGCACACAGCTCCTGATATGCAGAGCAAATTATTCAGTAAGTATCCATCCTGTGTAGACCCAGAAAAGCCCCTGTTTTCAAAGGGCTCATAATATGGGCCCTCCCTGGTGGTGCAATGGGTTAAACCACCGCACTGCAAGCTAGCCACAGTCACTTCAGTGTGAATGCGATCCCAGCCCTGGAGACGATCCATATGGCTAGGCAGACCTTTTCTGTCAGCAGTGTACCTCATCAAGCTGCCTGTTCTGCTCCCCATTCTGTCTCTGGTGACTCCTCTCACTGCCCCTATTCCTCTGGCCTGTACCCCAGCTCTGTATGCATAAATAAATAAAAATCTTTAAAAAAAAAAAGCTCATAATATAAAAAGGACAACAGATATTAAACAAATAAGTGTGATGGTATGATATGTCCTGCATGTAAAATGTCTAGAAATGTATTAGGAAGCAACATGGGAAATATTCATAAGGAAAAAACTTCTACCCTGTTCATGGAGGTTGAATGGGAATTTGCCAGGTGGACAAGGTGGGAAGAGAGGTTATTCTAGGTAGAGGGCACATTCATGGGGAGGAAATACTGCGGTGAGGGTTCTGGAGAGATTAGCATCTATCAACTTGGGTTCAGCAGAGAGACCAGAAGGTATGAGTAGGTAAAGCAGAAATGAATTTCTATTTTTGAGGAATTTCCTTTTCACCAGCATGGAAGGTGGATTTAGGGTTGAGAGTGGGGTGGGCGTGAGGTAAAAGGCTGAGCTACCAAGCAAGAGGCAGCTGTGACTTAGCCTGGGATTAGAAGTAGCAGGCACTGTTTCCATTTTGTCTTTCACTCAAAACAAAAACCCTCCCTAAACTTTCCATATAAATTGCAGATAACTCAAATTCTAAAATGAACTGTTCAAGTCTCGGACATTAGCCATTTTAGATAAATACTCATCTCCCAGATTTTAAGTAGCAAGATTGCAAAAAAGAAATGAAACTCCGAGCTTTGAGATGTTATTTGGCTCCCCATCAGTTGGCTAAAATCCAGCTCTGCTAATGTTGATTCATCTGACTGGAAAATTCCTAGACTATTTTTTGTAGGAGTGAGAATTTCTTTGTGATTCTCAATCCAAACCACATGGAAATGACATAAAAAAGGAGCTTGTTGATTTTACTCTAATTCTCAAGTGTTCTGGCTCTTGCTTCATAGCCGGACATCCACCAGTAGGAGGCATTATCTGAACATGGTTGGGAAATACTCATTCCTCGGGAATGACATTGTCTCCTTATCTGGCTGAATTCAGTGAGGAGGACTGTTGTTTCTAATGAAGACAGAGCTCCACCCTCGGCTGCTGCCACAGCTGCTCTGCTAATAAATAAGCGCAAAGCATTTTCCCTCTGTGTGTCTTCAACATGGATGCTTTTCAAGGGATTATAAAATTCTTTGTTAACCAGAAAACTATTATTGGCTACAGCTTCATGGCTCTGCTGACTGTGGGAAGTGAGCGTCTCTTTTCACTTGTGGCTTTTAAGTGTCCCTGCAGCACTGAGAACACGGTCTACGGGCTGGTTTTTCTTTTGGCTCCTGCCTGGGTGTTACTGATCCTTGGATTCTTTGTGAACAACAGGTCGTGGAAACTCTTCACAGGCTGCTGTGTGAATCCCAAGAAAATGTTCCCCAGAGGCCACAACTGCCACTTCTTCTATGTCCTTGGCCAGATCATTCTGAGTTCACTGGTGGCTCCAATGATGTGGCTTTCTGTGGCTTTGCTCAATGGGACATTTTATGAATGTGCCATGAGTGGGACAAAGAGTGAAAGACTCCTGGAGTTGATCTGCAAGGGGAAGCCCAAAGAGTGCTGGGAAGAACTAAACAAAGTATCTTGTGGTAAAACCAGCATGACAGCCACGGACAATGAAGAACTGAAACTGTCCCTGCAAGCCCAGTCTCAGGTAAGAAAGAACAACTGGCACCTTTTCCCCCCAGTGTAAACCTGAACTCATCCTGCTGTCCTCCTTTCAGTCAAGGCTGAAAACCTGCTAGGGCATTTAGAAACAATGGACATTAGAACAGAATTCATAGTTAAGACAATCCCAGGAGAAGCTCTTCACAAGCTGGATGCCTCAGTAAGATTGCTGATTGGATTGTCTTTTCCATTTCCAAAAAGAAAATATCCTCTGGGTGATGCATTCATAAATACTTAAGTACTTTAAAACAATCTCTGGGCTAACTTTGTAAATAATGCATGACACTAATTCATAACTGAGTGTTAATGGCAGAACTGTAATTAGAAATGACTGGCTTCTATCAATTAATTTTTTTCAAACTGGCTTCTAGGAAAAACACGCACATAGTATTCATCTATTTAAGCACAGCTCATCCAAATGAGCTAATACTTTTCAAAGTTGCCAGTAATATAATTAAAGTTATGATTCCTTTGAATTATTTCTGGCAACTATTATCTCATTGTATAAACATTGCTGAGATTGAAAAGAATTCCACGAACAAAGTAAGAACTGGCAGTCTTTAAGTAGCCTTCAGTGACAAGTGACCTTATTCTCTAGGGAGATTATGTCCTCTGCTCTTTGTGCTGTACAGCTAGAGAAAAACCTTATATTACTTTAAAAGCTTGAGATTGGGGCACTGTTTTATTTTATAGAAGTAAAGAATGGATTTACTCAATTGACACAGGGAAGTAGGTTGTCATCCTCCCAGGTAAGTGAGCACAAATCCAGATGTGAGTCCTTGCCCTGTCCTCAGGAAAAGACTGAATTCCTACTGGTGAGTAGTAGGAGTTGCTGTCCCAAGCCATAGCAAGCGCTAAGAGTAGATAAACAGATCCACTAATTGTATCAGGATAAATGCACTAAAAATAGTATGATGATTTTTTTTTTTTCAACAAGGGCTTGTTTTTACAACAATGCATGAAGGCAAAGTCTTTCAAAATCACACATTACAAAACTGGTTGGCAGTGTAATCATACATTTTCACTAAACTGATAAGCCTAAAAATGCCCCAAGGACTCTTGTTTAATGCATAAAGTGCATCTTAGATTTAAAAAAAAAAAAAAATGCCAGGTTCCCAACGTCTTCCCTTTTTGTTGAAGGAGGTATTAATTGCAATTGTTATGCACAATGAGTAATTTGTGATTTATGTCCTTAGGCTTCAGGCGCCATTCAATCAGTGCCAGATCCAAACCCTTATTGCTACGTGAGCCTTTCTTCTCTAAACACAAGCATGAGGAAAGCTTGTGTACATCCTGTCAGAGCGAGCCTGGGCACACTGATATGTTTACTTTGCAGAAGAATGAGAAATACCTGCGGCTGATTCTTAGAGGAAGGTGCGCGAGGGATGTGGACAAAGGGAGCCATTGCTGACCGCAGCGGTTCAGACAGGCAGGAACAACATTCGACCCAGACCAGTAGCTGAGAGTGTGGGTAGGGGTGGAAAAAGTGCCCCATTCATGGGTGGGGCAGAGAAGTAAGAAATCCAGCTGACTCCATTATTAAGGAAGGTAGAGTGGAGTAGTGCCCACCGGTCAGCCTTGGAGTTGGCTAGCCTTGGGTTTGACTGCTACTCTACCACTAACCAGTGAGGAGGCCTGGGGTAAGAGTGATACTCCGTCCCCACCCCGAGCTCAATTTCCCCATATGACCTACCTTGGAGGTTTACTGGACATAAATGAGCATATAAGTGCTGGCACACAGTAAGTGTTCCAGCTTAATAAGAAAACTGGCAGGGCTTGAGGGAGGAGACTCACACAGAAGGGGGTGCTATGAGGACTGGGGTGGGAGCGTCCATCTTGTCAGTGAGACCCCGGGCAGCATAAATGGGGGAAGGGCAAGAAGATTCAGGACTGAGCCAGCACTCAGGTGAGAACAAGTTCGTGCTAAGGTCATGCAGTGTTGATTATGGGTACTTCTGAAGATGACCACAGTTTACAACTCAAGCAGAACTGACTCAGATAATGAGATTCAGTGGCCTACCGGTGGCTCAGCTGTGCGGATAGAGGAAGGTAGAGGATGAAAAAAAGAGGAAGAGATGAGGTAGCAAGCCACAAGTGATTCGAGGTACATACTAGGACTTTCATATGATAGTGGTGGTGCCTCGTTCAGTAATCAAATGATAGAAAGATACTATAGATCAGCAAAAATATTATATAAATGTATAGACATTTGAAAAATAACAGTATGTGATATTAACAAAAACTGTGCGTGTAGGTGTGTTTATATTACCTCATTTTAATTCTATAATTTACCCTCTGAGGTAGGTAACTCCTATTTTACAATTGGGAAACCGAGGCACAGAGACTATCCATAGTAAGGGGGCAGCTGAGGTTTAAACCCAAGTAGTCCCAGTCCAAAGTTGGCATTTACGCAGAATCTGACCCCTATCAGTGACTGCAGGTCTGGGGCGGAGCCTGGGACTGCTGGTTTGAAGGGTTGGAGCTTAGTTCCGGTCTGAATAGGGTCATTTGCTGATTATCATTTTTATTTTCAAAAGACACATCTGTAGGGAAATATTAAGAATCCCAAAGGAACTCTGTTACATGTTCAAATGTGAAGTTAATTCCAAATGTTTAAAATATAATTAGAACAACAAAGTTTAGAAGATAAATTGAGCTAATTAGAATTCTGCTTTGGGGATTAAGGGCAGGGAAAACCCCTGAGCTGAAACAGGGGAATTAATGTTTTTCCAAAGGCCAACATTCAGAATCAATCTTGAAAGTTGAAATGATCCTGATTTTGTCTCAGCCTTTGCCCAGGCTTTAAATCCCTACAGCTTCAGTGTCTCATTGCAGTCTGCCTCACTTTATCTTTGACAATGAGTCGTGATGTTTTTCTCATGGCTGCTGTTCTCTGCACACAAGGGAACATGAGAAAAATCAGTCACTAGCCATAAATGCATTTATCAGTGCCTGAAACATCTTGCCTAGAAGACTAGCCACTTGCTTAAAGACCACATTATTCACGAATAGAATTCATTCTCCTAGTAGTGAATAATATTTAAGAGCTGGGTTTTTCTGATTATTGGATAATCTATACTTCTTGCTCTTTATCTGTCATGTCCCTCCCTTCTAATTATTCTTTATATACCACTAATAGTGCGTAGAGAAAAGACATCAGCCTATATTTAACTTTATTCTCCTTTTAAAAGATTTATTTATTTATGCACACAAGCTGGGGTACAGGCCAGAGGTGTGGGAGGTGAGAGGATTCACCAGAGGCAGATGGAGAGCAGAACATGAAGATTAAAATACACTTCTGAGGGGGGCAGCAGCAGCTCAGAGGAGGTCTGCGGAGCCATGTGGGTCACCTCCCAGGCCTGGGATGGAACTCGTGCTGCAGTGGTTGCATAGCTTCATAATACTGTGCTTTAACCCCTTGTACCACCAGGGAGGACCCTTTACTTTATTCTTGATTGTTAAATTGTTGCTAAAAATTAAAATGACTGATTTCAGCAAAGGCATGGCAATGAGTGGTATTATGTAGTCAGGACTCCCCAGTCACACCACTCCTTTGCTTTAGCATGTCCTGAACTTTTTTTTTTTTCTTTCTAAGATTCTAGGATGGTTCCTGATTTGTTCAGCCTCTTTCTTTTCTCTGCTCACCACTTGCTATGCTCGCTGTCGATCTAAAGTTAGCTACCTTCAACTGAACTTTTGGAAGACGTATGCACAAAAGGAGAAAGAGCAGTTGGAAGATACCATTCTGGACTATGCCAGCAAGCTGAGTGAGAGAAACCTGAAGTGCTTTTTTGAAAACAAGAGACCAGATGTCTTCCCCATGCCCACCTTTGCAGCTTGGGAGGCTGCTTCACAGCTGCATTCTTTCCACCAAGGCCCACAGTACTACAGCACCCTCCATAAGGTGGTAGAAGATGGGCTGGACCATCACCCAGAGGATGATGAGACCACTATGGTTCTTGTGGGCAGTGCCCACAGTGTGTAGCTTGCCCGCCAGATGTCACCTGCATGACTCAGTGCATCCAGGGAGACTCCCATTCTGACATCTGCCTACTGCATCAACAGCAACCTGTGCATCTCTGGGTTTTCCACATGTAGCTTTCTTATAGGACAATAAACAAAGAGAGCAGCTTTGTAACTCCCATGCTCAGACAGTGCCAGGATGTGCTCAAAGATGCTACGTCATGGGGTAGGGATGGGCCAAAAGTACTCTTCCCTCTTTGGGGGTGGGAATTCTATGATTTTGTGATTCCACAATGAGACTCATGGAAGAGGACCTGCCACTCAAATCATCCTCATGGCTTCAGGGCAAAAGTGGCTTGTAAGTGAGCAAGTTATTCTGAACACAGACTGACACACACAGTGAGATTTTCATTGTAGTCAGTAAATCTATTCTCTCTCCCTTCAAGGATGTATGAAATCCATTCCTTTGGAACCTGAAGACATTAGTGCTCAAAAACAGCACACTGGCAACATATGATGCCTGACGTGTCTCCTCTGGGCATTGAAAGTACCCCCTGGGCAGTGCTGCATCGTGGCTGGTGTGGCCGTGGATGCATTGTCTTTGTGGACCCCATTCTACACTAAGCACACACACAGATTTGTGGTAGTATTGATATAAGGACAGGTAATATATATTAAAATTTTTTCAACCCAAAAGTTCATTGATTTCCTTCTGATTCTAAAAAAGTTAACAACACTGCCGACAGCCCCTACAATTATTGTGGGCCCAGACACAGTGCCTGATATGCTGAGGGGGCAAGTCAGTCCTGACTGGATGTCTAGTGAAACTGTCCAAAGCAGTGTTGATATAAAACTATTTTTGCAGTTTTAAATTTATCAGAAATATTGCAAACTGCACTCTACATCATATATGCTCATGTTAGTTTAAACATATATGCGTTCACATGCATATATACATGTATTCCTATGTACAAATATTTCAGTCCCCCAAAAAATTGCTGAATGGAATCATGCTTCAGTAAGAAGCTCCAGGTACCTTATGTAATAGGGAATTCTCTCTTAGTTTGAGAATCCTCGGGTTTGACCAGGATTGCAAAATTGGAGAATATATTCCAGAACATATTCTTGGAGATGTATAGGTGCAGGGTCAGGGTATGTGTGTGAGTGTGTGCATGTGTGAAAGAGAGAAGGCAAAGACAGAGAGAGACAGACAAACCGAGAGAAAGCAGGTGGGAGAGGAAGAGGTGGGGGCTTTGAGGTTGCAGTCTTATTTGGGTTTTAAACATGTGTGACAAATGGTAATAATTGTTCCCTCCAATAAGCCCCAGTTTGACATGTTTGCCAGTTTTTTTGATGAAATTTCAAAAAGTCACGGATGTCAGTAATGTACAAGTAGGAAAAGATGTTAACCATGGGCTTTCTTAAGCCATATAAGTTTTCGAAGGTTTTAAGATTAGCAGTTTGTTATATATTCAGGGTTTTGATGTTGTTTTTTGCGTTTACATTGATTCTAACAGAATAACTTTGTGCATCGTTGGTCCATCTGGGTTTCACTTTAGTAAAACCTAATCGATACATTCAATGTGGTGCAGAGGCACCAATGGAGAGGTGAACTCCCCTTCTCCCCTTAAATCTGGCCTTAGCAAACCAGTGGGCTGTTGCAGCAGTGAAGCCAGATTGTAGAAGTGCTGCAGCTGACTCCTGGCTCTCTTGCAGTGTTCGCACTGTAAAAGCCAGACACCATGTAAGAGGCCCAAGTACCCTGAGCCCCCAGGTCTGACGAAGGCCATGCTTACCCAACAGAGAAAAAACTGAGAGAGAGAGAAAAGCCCAGTTGTCAGATATGAGTGAAGAAGTCACTTAAGACATTCCAGCCTCAATACAAAGGCCCCATAAGTATGGTCCCAGTGACTCCATCATACATTTTAGTCACCCCATGAGAAGCTACGGAAATCAGAGTGATCCCCAATATGTCGGGTCAATATCCCTGATATAGAAAACCATGTGCTTAATAAACACTTACTGTTTTAAGCCAACAAATTTGTGCTACCATGAAGCAATAGGTCACCTGAACAGTAGTACATGAAAATCGCAATTTTTAAAGATATATAAATAAAGGTAAATTGGATTTACACAAAGATTTTCCCTGTGCATTGGTGTTTCCGTAGTAATTTTCCCTGATTCCAGTTAGCACTAGTTGCTGAATGTTGTGTTGGATGGATGCTCATAGGAGAAATGAAGATTGCTCGGGCTTTTGCGCTACTGGCTGCTGACTGCCGGAGGCATTTGGCGTTGACTGCAGGAGGCATTTGGGACCGTGGGCTAGTGCGCATGCCCGGTGGTGGACACCTGGCGCCCGGCACGGGCCTGCGTAAGTGGGCGCACCTGCGGCAAGAGGCTGAGCACATAAAGGCAGCGGCGCAGAGGATGGTGCGATGGTGCCCAGTGGAGATCATCAAAGAGCCCTGAGATTCATGAGGGCCGGAAGGCCTGCCAGCCTCCTGGCCCCCGGCTCCCTGCCTACCTTGCACCTTGTTACCTCACTGCAAATGGTGTAGAGAGATCAACAGGCCTAAAAGCCACTGAGGGCTCTGGACTCTCCTTTGCCCCCTCCTCCCACTGCCGGCCTGCAAGGCAAATGGCACAGATGGCAGGACAGTTCAACACAGACCTAGGGAGGCAGACTCGAGAATATCGGTGACGGGCCTCCTCCCTGGTGCGCTCCTGAGTCTCCAGTGCAGGGGCAAGGACTCTACCCACAGTGGGAGGCCCTGGACCCACATGGTGCCTGCTCAGAGGCGGGGCTGGGGTGAGTGTCCCTCTCCGCTGTGAGTGGAGTCAGGACAACGCTGCTGCCATGGCAGGACAGGTCGTAGCCAAAGTCCAGGCGATGCAGGAAGAGCTGAAGATGCTGCAGGAAGGAGCACAGGAGGTGACAAGGTCCAGGAGCTGCAGGACAAGACCTGCCTGGCGAAGGAGCTGGGCTGTGAGGAACAGCCCACGGGCCCTGAGGCTGCAGAATCAATGGGGATGAAAGAGGATGAAAGAGGATGGTGATTGGTCATTCGTAGATTTCCCAGTGCTGATGCAAGAAAAAAGCTGATGATGGCCTTGGACTGACAATTGCCCCAGAAGGTAGGAGAACTTTGGTGGTTGATACTATGTCTGTGGGACCCTGCGGATGAAAGGGGTCATTTGCACACACCAGGGGATGAGAATGAAGGGTGTTATTGAGCCTGGTGGCCTAAAGCAGCCTTGTGTGAGGTTCTCCGCAGCCAGGCAGAGAAGGTGTATCAGAAGCCCTGAGTTGTTAAGCATTAAAGGGTTAAGAAGGCAGATGAGCCTTGTAAAAATCATCTGTGAGTGATGCCCTTTTACTTTCAAGTAAGGGTGAAGTGCCAAAGAACAGTTTCTGGGGGATGGGAGATGGGTGGAGAACATCACTTGTGGAGACCACAGCTAGAGAGGGGACCAGAGAGAGGCCACATGTGGAGCTTGCTATCCACGGGTCCTGACCCACATGCTTGTACAGACGGCTGGCCTTAGTGTAGGGGTCTGCTTGTCACACTGGTGGCAAGGAAAGCTGACTGTTGGGGTCAGTCTACCTTAGCTGTTGGCAGCAGTGAGTATCCTTAGGGACTGCACAGTTACCCCCAAGAGTATAAGGTGTGTTGCCAGTCTCAGTGAGTGCATCCTGGGAGTGGATGTGGTCTATGGTTTGTGGCTGAGACCACAGCTGGAGAAAGCCAGGAAGCCTGATGGTCCCTGGTGTATGACAGTGGGTGCCATGACTGAATAGTATTCCCCTGTCCAAGGAGCAGTTCCTTTGACAACGGACTATGGATCATCTGCTGGCAACAATAACTATCTTATGTTTTTGCCAGGTTGGTGTTCTGCTTGGGCTTATTAGCATTCTGTTGCATTATTATAGTCAGTTGCATTGTGTTTAATTTTGGGTAAATGTTACCGTTAATGAAAGCCAAGAGAAACATAGGTAGATTGTAAGGTAAAAGAAAAAAAAGCCCTGAGGGGGTCGATTGCAGGGTAAATGAAGATTGCTCAGGATTTTTGTGCCTTTTGGCATCTGTGACAATAACCTGTTGCCGTGAGTTCAGGAGGTGCTTCAGTGTGGGCTGGGGAACACATACCTGATGGTGGATACCTGGTGTATCATGTGTGCGTGTGTGAGTGGGCACACCTGAGCTGAGGGACTGAGCATATGAGGGGCAGTGTCACAGAGCACTGGGCTCAGAAGGCCCCCCCTTATCTTCACAGTACTACAATACTTAATAGATACTAGAAGTCCTAAAATAGTTATACCAGAGTCTGAGATGCATGTGAAATTATCGTTGGTTAAGTGTTGTTTGAAAGGAATACTCTGCTGTGCTTATTTTCTGGTGAAAATAAATATTACTAAGAAGAATAATATATTATTTGTCTTAACACTTGGGGAAAAATAAGAGTAGCTAGAGTAGGACAGGTGGGCATTGACTAAACAAAAACAGGTTCTTCTGACCTGGCTCCTCAAAATATTATTTTAGGATTATCCACATTAGCATTCTAAGGGAACTTGTTAGGAGTGTGGGATGGGGCTCTATCCCAGACTCAACTTTGCAAGTCTGCATTGATTAAGATCTTAAGTGATTTTATGCAGTGTAAATTTGAGAAGCACTAGAGCCCCAATTCCCAAACTTTAGCTCAAGCAAACTCATCTGGAGGGCTTATTAAAAGGTAGGTTGTGGAGCCCCACCCAGAGTGTCTGAATTGGTAGGTATGGAGTGAAGCAAGGGAGAACTTGCATTTCTAACAAGTTCTCACAGGATGCTGATGCTGTTGGTCCAAAGATCACATGTTGAGACAACCCCATTACAGCTTGAAACAGGCCAGAAGAACTTCAGTATCTCGCGCCCACTCATACCTTCTAATTTAGCCTTCTTTGTTATGATGCTATCAACCTGTCTGAAAACATGGGTGTCTTAATATTCATTCAAAGTTCCCTTTGGTCCTTCAGGAATATCAGTTTTTCTCACATAAGTTTGCAAATTCCTTGTATTAGTAGGTATTCTTTCTTGCTGTTGTGGTTTCTTTTTTCCGTATTTCTTCTGATTGATGGTTATTTCAATCCATGAAAAAGGTCTTGCTCTATGACATCCACTTCCTTCCTCCTTGCTAATTCTTTTCTTTTTTTGTAGAGCTTTTCAGAGTTAGAAGATACCCATTTTGTAGTGCCCAAATGATGAAATGAATCTGGACAACACTGAATTCTAAGTAGGAGGAAGGCATGGTGGGGCCAGGAGCAGGCAACTTGAAGCCACTCTTCTATGTTTTCTTTGTAAGATCTTTGCTTACTTTTTCACAACATAGTATTTCTCCCCTCAGGTATGGTTGCCACAGTTCTTCCACCACCAAATCATCCATAGTCCTCCACCCTAGTCTACAGTGCTACCCTCTTCCCTTTTCCTTTCTCCCTCATGCCTCCCTTCCCAAAAGTCTCAGATCTTTGAGCTACTTTTAAGGGGATCCTCTCAGTTTGTCTTTCTTTGTCTGACCCTTTGTTTTGTTTCTATAGATTCCACATGTAAGTGATCCATCAGTTCATTCTCTTCTTGCTCACTTCACTTAAAATAATCCCCTCCTGCTTCATCCATGTCACTGTTCATTTCAGGGTGACTAAAAATGGAAAGGGCAGATGTGGCTCCTGATGAGATGATGTGCAAGAGTAAGCACACACACCACCTGTGAAAGGTCACTCATAAAAGGAAACCAGAAACCAGAATCTGACCAGTATTGTGATCTGACTACTTTACAACAGAAAGCAAATCAGTACTATGAGGAAGCAAAGAAGTAGATGAAGAACATAGGACATGCTATTTGACATGCCACCCAGTCTTCTACATACCAATGGCATAAAAAGGAAAGTAAAAGAGGCTTAAGAGACATAACTAGAAGCATGAAGTGGGCCTTATTTGTATCCTGCTTTAAAGTATCCCACTATCCTAGGATGTCTTTCAGATATTTAGGGAAATACAAATGGTATTAAAGAGTATTTAGGGAATTTTTCATTTGCTCTATAAGATATTACTAAGGTACTTCATAGTTTTTTTTTTTTTAAATCCTATTGAGGGTCCTCCATAGTGGGGCAGTGGGTTAAAGTGCTGCACTGCTAAGCCAAGCCATGGCCACTTCAGTGCAAGTTCGATCCCCAGCCCTGGAAGTGACCCACATGGCGTGGCAGACCTCTCCTGACCCGCCCGCTGCTCCTTTCAGCAGTGTACTTCATCCATCTGCCTGTTCTGCTCCCTATTCTGTCTTTGGTAAATCCTCTCACCACACCTGCACCTCTGGCATGTACCCCAGTTCTGTATGCATAAATAAGTAAAATCCTTTAAAAAATCCTATTAAGAAATGCATATTGAAATATTTATATGTGAATTATGATAATGTCTAGCATTTTCTTAAATTCCAGCACAAAAGATGAAAGATGAAACCAGACTGACAAAATATTAATACTTGTTGAAGCTGTACAGTGGATACATGGGATTTATTACATATTCTCTTTATGGTTGTGTGTTTAAATTTTTGTATATTACCTACACAATGACATAAATTATGTTTTCTTTGATTATTTTACTAAAGTTTCACCAAGATTGCCTGGCATTTACCCTCTAATATTCTCAAAAAGATTTTTAGGAATACAAATTTTTAGATACTCAAATTGTTCTATACTTATGAACCAGTGAGCTTTCATTTTTTTCCTCTCTAAATATATTGTAAATGTTATTCCATTTTCTTTCGTCATTGAAATTTGCTAAGGAAAAAGAGGACACCATCTTCTTGCACTATTAAGGTGATGCTTGTGTCTGTATTCTCAGGTTGTTTATCACAGAAGTAAAAAAAAATTATTAAATGTACATTCAGGTGGGTCTTTTTGATCAATTCTCCTTGCTACAAGTAATATTGTTGCATTAGAGAATTTTTTTTGTTTCAAGAAATGGAGTTTGTGAGTTTCCTTTTACTCTCCTGTTGTGCTACATGATTTCCAAGAAATCACATAGATTTGGATTCAGAATTAAGCCACTACTATGCATCCTATT